TCTATACAACAGTTGAGGTGTATAGGTATGTTTTAAAACATACTTGTCCAATTTCAAGTATTGTAAGCTGTTGGTAGTTGTTGCATATATTAGATATAGTTTCAAGTAACAAATGAATCCTCCGCAAAGTGATTCTCTCTCTCTCTCTCTCTCTCTCTCAACCTTCTTCAAATTTAATATCTTGAACGATACGATAGGGATCCAGTAATGATATTATGTCATAGTCAACTCCTGCCACTTGCAGTACACGCCGCAATTCCTGACTTGTTGCATTCCTTCCTAAGCGGTCTCTCCATGTCGTCAGCATCGTGAACTTCTGTTGCCGTGCATTGTAAGGATTATTTGACTTGAATTCGTCCACCTCCGATTTGAGGAAACCCATGTGGATGGCCACGCTTTCCCAGTCTGAATCCAACTTTGTAGCAACGTGTAAAAGCTGTCGGTCGGATAATGTCTCGCGTTGAAGGGCAACATTTAAGTATTGGACTCGAAGAGAATTCAAACGATCACTGAAGGTAGGTTGATATGCTGTAAAGATAAAACTGTACAGTTTAGCTACCCCATGACGATACTACAAGACGTAGTGGTAAACGTAGATGTCAGATGCCACTATGTGCAAAGAGTACAAGTGATGACCAAACTATTCATGGAAGTGAAAACACCACCTTCAATACAATATAAGAAAAAAAGGTATGTTGCTTAAGGAAGTTGTCTTGATACACACTTAAAAGTTTTCATTCAGAAACTTTAAATCTGTAGTATGTTGTGGAAGCAATGACCATGACAACTATCAAGAATTGTCCAGACCATAACAGTTTACGATCAAAGTTTTGTGTGATATAAGAGGTATGTTCTGATAAATTCCCATTAAGCCAGTCCGCCATCAACAGATTTCTTATTTATACTTGGGTATTCTGAAAATCATATAGAGTTGTAAGAGAAAGGGACATTGCATCTCATGTATGATATTGCATCGCGAATGAAATTAATGAATTACTACTGTATACAGTTAGTGTGGAGGAAGTCTACACAAATATTACATTTACCTTGGCCGCCAAGAGACCATGCCGATAGATCTGGCCTGTATGGTTGGGGCATTAGATATTCTACAGAGACCCTTTCGTGGCAGAGAGTGCAGATCACTTCTCTTAACCGTATGGAACTGGGCTGTAGCCAGTTCCCAGGAAATGATGGCTGGTGACACTTCGGGCAGACAGTTAATTGGTCAAACTGGACACCTGTGGTAGAAAACATCAAGCCTTTAATTCTTAAGGCGTTATTCTCAGGGTTTGAAATAAAAAATTGAAGTAAATTAAATGTGGTCTGTTTACTTGGTACAACATTGTGCAATGACAGTATTTGATACAAAATGTTTATAGATATTGGTACAACATAAAAGAATTATGCAAATATCAAACCTGGCCACTGCTTCAGAAGGTCTTCAACCTCCAAGCTTAAGTCTTTCAACGTCATCCACATAATGGAAAGCGTGAAGTACTGAGAAGTACCAGTGTGCTCAGGTCTAGCACTGAGTGAAACCACCTGCCCTTCTGCCTCCTCATACTTCAAAAGTACCAGTACTCTGTGTCTTTCGTGCTTACACAGCATGCCAGTGTTCCAATGTGAAACAAAGTGCAGGTTGTGTTTTGGGTGGTGTGATCTTACAGTGAGGCGGGCAAACAGACCAGGAGGGATGAAAGATGGAAACTGGTACTGACGTGAAATGATGGGACTCACCCCTGATTCCCATTGGGCTTTAGCCATGTCCCCCATGTCTTCCTTTATGTGCCACGGTAACAGGAGTCTCTGTGAACTCTGGGGCTGTGCTTTGCTTCCTAAGACCTGTTTAAGTTCCCGTGGTAACAATGCTCTTTCCTGTTGCTCTTCAATGTCATAACAAAGATCAAACTGTCGCATCAGTTCAATCAACACCTGAAAAATTGTATCGAATGTTCCCGAGCGACATTCCTTTTCAACATTAGACCACAGACACCTGAGCAATTTGGTGTGTAGAATTCCCTTCTCAACCAAGTCAATTTTCATCTTCAGAAATTCAGCTTGTGATATTTCAGCGTCTCTGTAGCAAGGATCAGAACTATAATTGATCACTGTCTCAAGATCATGCCGAATGACCTTCCTGAAGATGTCTACAAGGGAAGCTGGCTTCAGAAACACGTGGTTTCTTAACGACTCTATTTCTGCATACCATAGAATCTTGCCTGTATCGTGGAGGTATTGCGCAACAGTTTGAATTCGAGATTCTGGCTGCAGATTCGGGACATTTGCTTTTAATAGAGCCTTGAACTCATCCCAAGTCATGTATGGAAGGCTTAGCTCTTTGCCCTTTTTCTCGACACAAGCTTCAGTGTCTGCCCACGCTTTTGGTACGGGGCGTCCGACCTCAGGAAAGTATTCTTTATTTACAGCATAATTGAGGATCACTTGCTTCAAATACTGAATGCCAGCAAGTGACTCAGCTGAGCTGACTGGCACAGGTTCTGGGTGTATTGTTGGCCTTTTCATTAAAAGGGTTTCGATTTGTTTCTTTCTGTCTTTGGTAACTTCCTTTGAAATTGCCAATGATTCGTCGATACGTTCTAGTTGTTTCTGTAGACTCTCTACACGTCTTTTTTCTTGATCTTCCAGCTTTTTGGCCAAATCCTTACACCTGCGTTCTACCTCTGCAGTTGATAGTTTATCAATATGAGTAGCAACAGGGATGACGACAGGGTTACCCACCTTAGCTATCATATTTTCCACCCAGTTTCCACATGTTGAATAAAATCTGGCAGAATCGCATTCCTCCAAGTTCACAACTAGTAGAATGAGAGCCTTTGCGCTCAAGAAGAATTGGTGGGTTATGTAGTATGTTTCCTGACCAGCAAAATCCCACACAGATAACGTAATGTTGGGAGTATTTGGGGCTGAAAGACGGATTTCTGCTATCTCTATACCATGTGTTCTTTCATCGGGTTTTGTCAGGTCGGAGCGTTTCAATTGGAACACCCTAACAAGGCTGGTCTTCCCAGCTTCATAGGTCCCTAGGAACAGTGTTTTGAGACACTGAGTGATACTGCTGGCCGTTGTTAAGTCTTCGTAGAATGCCTGTATTGTCTCTAACCCTGCCTGACAGACCTGTAAGGGCGGATCAATGATGGGGTTACCTTTCAGCTCTAGCTTAACATCTTTGGGCATGTCCATGATAGTCTCAGGGATTTCCTTGATATTATTGTTACTTAAGTCAACCTTTTGTACGCTCTTCATCTGTATGAGAGCTTCTGGGAAATGGGAGAGACAATTCTTGGCTAAAGCAACCACTTCCACAATAGACGATTCGTCCTTTCGCATTGCACTGACAGAACTGATCTCGTTGTTTGAGGCATGAATCACTCTAAGTTCTGGAAGGCGAATCACATGAGACGGGATCTCCTTTAGCTTATTGTGTGACACGTCAAGAACTGAAAGTCTCTTACAACTTTTGACATTTTGGGTTACTGCGCTGATTTTGTTTTGCTTCAGGTCCAGTTTCGTCAACGAAGGAAGAAAGCAAAGGACCAGGGGCAGATCATCTAGTTTATTGTTACTCAGATCAATGTCACATAAAGTAGGAGATAGTTTGTTTAGATCCAAGTCAGTTGGAAGCTTTGTAATTTTGTTATTGCCAAGATGCAACGCTCTCAATGTTGGCATCAACAGCAGAGCTTCAGGCACCTCGCCAATCTCATTGTTACTGAGATCAATCAACTCTATGTCTTGGGAAACTTTCGTTATGTCCAATGACAATGATTTGATGTTGTTACCCCCAAGCCCTAATGTAGACACAGAAGGTAGATAGAAAAGCTCAGAAATTTGCTGACTTATGATTTTGTTGGTTTTGTTTTCTCCTATCTTGTTATCTGAGAGGTTCACCACCAATAAGTGTTTTAGTTGTTTTACATTGTGGGGAACATCTGCCAACAAGTTACTTGACATGTTCAGAGATTTCAAAGGACATGTACTGGCCTCTATTTCCCCATTAGATGGATGAAGCCATCTTGTTATCTTGTTGTGGCTGCAAGAAAAAAACTCCAAGCTTTTCATTTCAAGTATTTCGTACGGAATGTCTCCGATGTTGTTGTAAGAAACGTCCAAATTTCGAAGAGCTTGAAGTTTTCTAACCACAGCTCCAATAGCTGTTAACTTGTTATGGCTCACATTGAGACTCTTCAGACAGGGCATTGAGCGAATAGGCCTAGATGGTAGTGTCGTCAGGTTATTATGACTAAGGTCGAGAATTTCTAGGTCTTTTAAGTTTGCCAGAGATCGTGGTATGGAGGCCAACTGACAATTTGACATTTTGAGGGACCGAATGGAAGTGCATTGAAATAAATTGGACAGGCTAGTATCATCCAGTTCCAAGCCAATGATTGTTACAGTTTTCAATAGCTGGAATTGGTTTACCTCTTCAAAGATGGCCAGAGGTTGGCCTTCTTCTGACTGTTTTGTAAGCTTTATATGCTCTACATCAACATTATCTTTGTATTGTTCTTGGTAGAAAAGAAATGTTGACTCGTGGTCGTCAGTACATTTTTCTTTCGTACAGATAGGAGAAGTTAAGGGATCCTGTCCAGTCTGTAGAAAAGACATATCCTCATCAAAAGACATATCCTCAACCCTAGGCTCATCTATCTGACCTAGTTGTTGAGTTGATTTTGAGCCTTCTGCTTTTCTGGTTAGGTACGCCTTCACCACATAGTGAAGACAGATAGCAACCACCATGCCAAGCAAAATCGTCAGAACCCATCTTACATGCCCTCCATAGGGTTCTGTCACCGCCAACGTGTTTTCTAAAAGATTGAAAAACTCCATTCTTTTAGATTGAACTAATGAAATTGGGAAAATGTACTTTTATGATCTGGTAAAATGATTATATCAATGACAAGAATGGACAGAAGGGCTGTGGTATACTCAGTGAGACACTCAAGGGATGGTCAACCTGCAAACAAAAACATAATGTTAAAAAGACCATGTAACTACTGTAACTTGACTGAATATTGCAGTAATCAGGTTTTTAAAAAGCAGAAAAGCTATATATATATGACATTCATTGGTCATTTTTTCCTACAGACAAATAAGAGACCAGTATCTCAACATTTGGTCAAAGAAAACGAGTTATATTTTGACGAAATTCAGCTGATGAAAAATACCAGGTGAAACTTTACCTTTGTTTACACGTCTTGTGGCTGTGGCGGGTTGTATTGTGCGGCGTTGATGGAGACACTGACTCAGGTTTCACCTTCCCCAGGGTACTGTACAAACAAAACAACACAGCAAGCGTTGGGTACGCGTCTCGCTCGGGTAATTATATGCACCACTTGGAGTTCATTTCCAGCTTTCGTAGGTATTAGCAACCTCCCGTTTCCTACGTCCATACATATTTTTGGTAGTCTCATCACCATTGGCAGTCCAGTTGGTAGTCTAGGTTAAAGTATATTTTACAAGTAATCTTAAAGATGAGAGTTCACAATCACGTAGAGCAACGTTTTCGTGCTAAATTATATTCGTGAAACATTCTTAACATTCTGCGATCTTATGCCGTACTTGCAGAATCTATTTCCAGACAACAGTGAACAAAACGATACAATGCCTGCGATCCCTTGAAGGTTTTGATTTTTTTTTACTTCTAATCTGTCTTACCGTAATGACATGCGGTAACTCTAGTCATAGCCATTATCATGACTACTCAAACAAGACTTAAACAAGAAGGTAGAGCAGTGTCACTAAGAAATGATAACATACATAACATGTACGAAGGAAGATATGAAATGTTACATTTCCAACCGTCAACGTCTACTAGTATGTTATCCATCAGCCTAGACGAACAAAACAGGCCGACTCTTAATAGAACCCGAAGTGTCGGTCTCTACTTGCTTAAAGTTTACTACATACAAGCAATGCAAATGATGACAGTGTACCAAAAATGATTGAGAAACCCTTACCAGATCCAACTCGCTGTGAGTTCAGTAGGAGGTAGTATTGGAGAAGTTTAGACAGGCAGTAGTAATCACTGCACGTCGACCGGACGGGCAGCCTGCTCACTTTGAAACTTCCTCTTTCTAATGGCGGGACTTTCCACCAGACGCGGAAGGATATCAGGTAGATTTCCAGGTGAGGAAGTAGTCCTTCACTGCCTTGAGCGTTTATAGCACAGATTCAGTTGTGCAAGGGGGGGAATGTACCCCACCATTGTCACTGATGCAACCAAGCAGCAAATGACACCATCAAGGCCAAGATTACGAATGCGACTATCTTCCCGTGGAGCGATACATGGACAGTGTTAACAGGTACTTGGCACACCTGTAAAAGAGGTGTAATGTTCCCGAAATAGCGCGGCTTTGATCCTGGGGGATCAGATAACTGTTTTTACTTTGGCGCGAACTAGAACGGCTAAGGGGTAGAATGTGATTTCTTTTCAATTTCCTTACTTATTTTACTTTACTTAGTTTATGGAGATGGGTTTCCATGTTCACAATCAACATTCTTCTGCAAAGTTTTGTCCACGTAGCTATCATTTAGTTTACTCCCCCCCCCCCCTCACTTTTAGTTTACACCCCTTCGGTAATTCGTCTTGTTACGTCCCTTTGCCACCACGGAGAACAATGACACCTGTCACTGATATAGCCCGGGACTGGTTTACGTGACCTCCACCCACCAAGCATGCTTTTGGCGAGATCATTGGGTCACGGGTGTTGAAAGGTATACTATTCAGCTATTCAGTTTGATTCACTCTCTTTGAACACTTATATAAAAGAGTGTAACTATGTGATATACGCGTATCTACTAGCTTGTACAGAATATTGTTGATCTCAAATTTATTCGATTTCGTTAGGCCCATGGAAATAAACAAACGAATCCAGAATTTGGAGCTATCTACAACAAACATATATAAATTCCGAATAGAACTAGTAGTAGCATAACATACAATAGTTCCCAATAGAACTAGTAGTAACATAACATACAAGAGTTCCCAATAGAACTAGTAGTAACATAACATACAAGAGTTCCCAATAGAACTACAATGTAAGTTAAAGTAACTTCCTTTCTTCTCTTCTCTAACAATACTTGGCATAACAGTCTGGTACTATAACGTCTGCAGACATGACCTGGGGAAATAATATGTACAGCTGTACTAACACTACCAGTACTGTTGGTCAGTCAAGTGTACTAAAATACAAATTTCATCAATGGTTTTGTATTTTGATGCAGAAAAAAGTCAATATATTGCCATACATTGTTCCTGCACATTTTCAAATATACATATATGGCCAATTGCTGAATTACAGTATATATATCAACAGATTAAAGTAACAAGCTAACCTCATACAGAAGTTGATTGACCACTCCAGGAGTTCTACAAGATACAAACTGCACTCCTGTATTGTTTACACACAGATATATTGATATATATGGATTTGTATTATACAATATTATACAATATTATAAACATGCCAATTGATAGTCTGTCAAGCAATACGACTTTCGTCCAACAGCACCATCATAGAAGACACCATAAAACTGGTATGTTTTACATACAGCATGTCTGACCGATCACAACCTCACTCAATGGAAAGCCTTGCAACTCTTCATCTCTAATAATCTTGGACTGGCTATAAACAGAAAATCTACATGTGACAAAAAGCTGGTGATTTGCTATCAGTTAAACCTCAGATTTACAAGAGGTGCAACACTCATAGGTGAATCACTTCATCGTCATATACTTTGGCTCCCCACATGATCAAGCTTTCCAACTATTCGCGTTACATTTACAGACATGATATCACGTCAACTCCTGCCTCTATAAGTACACGCTGCAACTCCTGTCTTGTCGCGTTCCTCCCCTTTCGGTCTCTCCATGTGGTCAGCATCGCGAGGATCTGTTGGTCCGTGTTGTAGAGATGATCACACTTGAACTTGTACACATTTGCTTTGGTGAAACCCATGTGGATGGCGAGTCTTTCCCACTCTGCTCCCAGCTTTTTAGCCACGCACAAAAGCAAATGGTCGGGCATTCTAGATTCTAGATTCTTGTCGAAGTCTTCCGCAATTCTTGCTGCGGACAGAGAATGCGCAATAGATTAGTTAGGCATCAGCAAGTACATGTAAGTTTTAGGGATGGCATCAGCACGCACATTGATTTTCTCCTGATTTCGAAAATTATTTTGTTGCCTTCGATGGTGGTCAACATGCCTAAAATGGGCAACTACTAGTATGTGGTAAACGTCCATCGACAAGGCAAGGCTGTGGCTAAATTTAGTCTTCTATTTTTACGTTGAAGGTTTGATACATTGTTGCATTTCATTTAGATGTGATATTGCCAATTAATCAAATCCATTTGTACATGAATATTTAAATTCAGTCATCTTATTTTTTCAAAGTCAGTGGGGGGTCGTGTGGCGCGGTCGGTAGCGCGTTCGACTCACACCGTCGCGGGTTTGAACCCTGCCCATGTCACCGATCTTGTGCCCTTGGAAAAGGCACTTTACACAACTTTCCTCACTTCACTCAGGTGGAAATGGGTACCTAGCTTCGGTTAGGGACTTCCCTCGGATAGGACGGTGGACGTCCCGTGTTTTGGGAGAGCCATACCCCACGCACATTAAAGAACTATGGTTAAAGTTGGCATTATCAGCATAGCTGCAGCTTTTTAGGTCATGAAAATGATTTTAGACAATGTGACTGCATTATTGGACTGAAGATAGTATCACGACCGCTATTTAGTTTAGCTGTATAGAAAATTGCTACCTGATTCATTACCTCCATGAAATGTGTCATGGAGGTTATATTTTCAGTTGCGTTTATCTGTCTGTCTGTTGGTCAACAAGATAACTCAAGAACGCCTGGATGGATTGGTTTCATACTTGGTGTGTTGGTAGGGTGTGACGAAAACTGGAAATGATGAGATTTTGGTCCCCCTAGTGGCTTCCCTTGGTACTGCAGCGCAACTTCCGGTTTTGATATCTCGCGATCTGGACATGCTAGGGTCATGAAATTTTGATGGAAGGTAGCTCTCGTGCTTGGGAAGAAGTCATATGAGTTTGGGCCCCCTAGCGGAAAGTTCTGGAACTGCAGGGCACTTTCTGGCGAAATGTTTAAAAGCCAATAAGTCCAGACAGGAACAACATATTTTCATTATTTTTGGTGTGTAGGTAGCTGAGAGAGAGATGTATATAATTAAATGCAAATTATGCAAATGAGGACTTTATTTGCATAATTATTTAGGAAATTCTATAATTACAGTGTTTTACATTATACTACTTACATACATTTAATGTATGTAACCTATGGCAGGCGGACCTTCAACAGATACTAATTATGCAAATGATGACCTAATTTGCATAATTAATGCGAAAATTATATGATTTCGTAATGGTGAATGATGAGAATGTCTTCATTATTTTTGGTGTGTAGGTAGCTGAGAGAGAGATGTACATAATTAAATGCAAATTATGTAAATGAGGACTTTATTTGCATAATTAATGAGGAAATTCTATAATTACAGTGTTTTACATTATACTACTTACATACATGTAATGTATGTAACCTATGGCAGGCTGAACTTCAACAGATACTAATTATGCAAATGATGCCATAATTTGCATAATTAATGCGAAAATTCTATGATTTCGTAATGGTGAATGATGAGAATTAACATACATCACGATGCATATATCATGTTAATGCAGAGGTCATTTGCACAATTAAAGAAGAAATTTACATTTACATATCAAGATCATATTTCATGGAGGTATGAGATCTCGGAATTCTAGTTGTATATATTTTTATACGTTACGTTTATACAGACATGTTACGGAGGTCAAACATAAGTGGTTTAATACCAAACCTAAGTTAGCTGCCAAGTCTCTTTTGTCCGACGAAAGAGACTTGGCAGCTAAATTAGTTTCAGTAACTAGGCTACCAAAACAGATGACACCAAATCATTTCAGAGGTGCATTATTTTTAGAACATACGCTTTTCTTACCCAACACACGTCCAACTTCCGACATATATAGATCCCGCGGTGGTAATAAATACTGACAATACACTCTTTCACTACAGAAAGAGCATATCACATCTCCGGGCCCGCTTATGCTCCATTGTAGCCATTCCCCAGGAAATGATGGTTGATCACACTTGGGACAGACAGTGAACCGGTCAAACCGAACACCTGTGGTAGGAAACATCAAATAATAACTTTTACAGATATGTAGGCTATTCAGGAATTAAAAATGACGTTAGCTCACGTACATAATTAAATCCAATTATTCATTCCACTGTGCTTGATAGGGGGTGTAATCTGAGGGATTTGATTGGTACATGTATATACGAAAAGAAAATATCGTTATCCTACCAGTGAAAAATTAGCTTATTGGGTTAAAAGTACAAAGTGAAGTACACACTAGCACCACATTTTCTTTTGATCCGTCTTTTACCCTCTTTTAAATATACTAACTAAATAAATGTGCAAAATAATCAGGTTTTTATCGGGACCGTAAAGTCAAAAGCTTTAATACGGGTTAAAATGTTGATCATAGAGAAGAGTAGTTCATGACATATGCTAAGCAAAGCTCACACCTGGCCACTGTTTCAGGAGTTGTTCAACCTCCAGACTTAAGACAACCAGCGTCATCCATAAATCATGAAGGGGCTCTTCTTCCACATACCGATGTGTGCTCTCTGGTCTAGCACTCAGTGATACCACCAGCCTTTCCGTACCCTCATTCTTTAGAAGCACAAATGTACTCTTCTCTTTATGCTTACACAATGCGCCAGTAGCCCAGTGTAAAACAAAATGCAGCTTGCATTTTGGGCGATGGGCCCTGACAGTCAGGCGGGCAAACAGACCAGGAGGGATGAAAGATGGAAACTGGTACTGGAGTGAAATGATGGGACTTCCCCCTGATTCCCATTGGGTCTTTGCCATGTCTGCCAGGTCCTCTGTTAGGTGCCAAGGTAACAAAAGTCTCTCTGGAATACAGTCGTTGCTTTTGGTGTTACTAATATCATCGTCAAGGTCATAACAAAGATCAAACTGTCGCATCAGTTCAATTAGCATATTGAAAATGACATCGAATGTTTCCTGACGACATTTCACTTTAACGTCCGACCACAGACACCGTAGCAATTTGGTATGGAGTACTCCTTTCTTAACCAAGTCAATTTTCATCTTCTGAAACTCAGCTGGTGGTATTTCGGCCTCTCTGAAGCAAGAATCAGACTCATAATCAATAGCGTCTTCAAAGTTATAACGAATAACCTTCCTAAAAATATTTACAAGTGAAGATGGCTTCAGAAACACATGGCGTTTTAACGACTTTATGTCTGAATACCACAGAATCTTGCCGGTATCGTGGAGATATTGTGCAACAGTTTGGATTCGAGACTCTGACTGCAAGTTAGGGACGTTCTTCTTTAGTAAGGACGTGAACTCATACCAAGTCATGTAGGGAAAGCTGAGCTCTTCTCCCTTCCTCTCGACACAAGCTTCAGCGTCTGCCCAAGCTTTTGGTACGGGGCGACCTACCTCGGGAAATAACTCTCTATCTACAGCATAGTTGAGGATCACTTGCTTCAAATACTGGATTCCTTCAAGCGACTCAGCTGAGCTGACAGGCACAGGGTTTGCATGTATTGTTGGCCTTTTCTGAAGAAGAGACTCAATTTGTTTCTTTCTGTCTCTGGCACCTTTCTTAGAAATTGCCAATGATTCATCGATACGTTCAAGTTGTCTCTGAAGACTTTCTACACGTCTTTTTTCTTGATCTTCAAGTTTTTTGGCCAAATATTTACACCTACGTTCTACTTCTTCAGGCTCCAGTTTATCAATATGAGTAGCAACAGGGATGACGACTGGGTTCCCCACTTTAGCTATCATATTTTCCATCCAGTTTCCACATGTTGAATAAAATCTGGCAGAATCGTATTCCTCCAAGTTCACAACTAGGAGCATGAGAGCCTTTGCACTCAAGAAGAATTGGTGAGTTATGTAGTATGTTTCCTGACCAGCAAAGTCCCACACAGATAATGTAATATCGGAGGTATTTGGGGCTGAAAGATGAAGCTCTGCAACTTCTATACCGTCAGTTCTTTCCCCGGTTTTAGTTAGATTGGAGCGATCCAATTGGAACACCCTAACAAGGCTGGTCTTCCCTGCTTCATATGTCCCTAGGAACAGTGTTTTGAGACACTGTGTGATACTGCTGGCCGTTGTCAAGTCTTCGTAGAATGCCTGTATTGTCTCTAACCCTGCCTGACAGACCTCTAAGGGCGGATCAATGATGGGGTTACCTTTCAGCTCTAGCTTTACATCTTTTGGCATATCCATGATAGTCTCTGGGATTTCCTTTATGTTGTTGTTGCTTAAGTCAACCTTTTTTAAGCTCTTCGTCTGTATGAGAGCTTCTGGGAAATGGGAAAGACAATTATCTGCTAAGGCAACATCTTCAACCACAGATGATTCGTCCTTTCGTAGAGAGCTAACAGAACTGATCTGGTTGTTTGAGGCATCAATCACTCTAAGTTCTGGAAGGCGAATCACTTGAGAAGGGATCTCCTTTAGCCTGTTGTGGGACACGTCAAGAACTGAAAGGCTCTTACAACTTTTGACATTTTCACTTACTGAGCTGATTTTGTTTTGCTTCAGGTCCAGTTTCGTCAAGGAAGGAAGAAAGCAAAGGACCAGGGGTAGATCTTCTAGTTCATTGTTACTCAGATCAATGTCACATAAAGTAGGAGATAATTTGTTTAGATCCAAATCAGTTGGAAGCTTTGTAATTTTGTTATTGCCAAGATGCAACGCTCTTAATGTTGGCATTAACATCAGAGCTGCGGGTACCTCGCAAATCTCATTGTTACTGAGATCAATCAACTCTATGTTTTGCGAAACTTTCGTTATGTCCAATGACAATGATTTGATGTTGTTACTCCCAAGCCCTAACGTAGACACAGAAGGCAGATAGAAAAGCTCCGAAATTTGCTGTCTTAGGATTTTGTCGGGTATGTTTTCTCCTATCTTGTTATCTGACAAGTTCACTACCGATAGGTTCTTCAGTTCCTTTACATTTTGCGGGACTTCTGCCAGCAAGTTACTGGACATGTTCAAAGATGCCAAATGACATGTACTGGCCTTTCTTTCCCCGTTAGATGGATCAAGCCATCTTGCTATTTTATTGTGGCTGCAAGAAAAAAACTCCAAGTTTTCCATTTCAAGTATTTCGTACGGAATCTCCCCGACCGCATTGTAAGAAACGTCCAAATGTTGAAGGGCTTGCAGCTTTTTAACAACATCTCTGATGACTGTTATCTTGTTATGGCTTATATTGAGACTCTTTAGACAGGGCAGTGAGCGAATAGGCCGAGCAGGTAGTGTTGTCAGGTTATTACGACTAAGGTCGAGAATCTCTAGGTCTTTTAAGTTTGCCAGAGATCGTGGTATGGACGCTAACTGACAATTTGAAATTTTGAGGGACCGAATGGAAGTGCATTGGAATAAATTTGACAGGCTAGTATCATCCAGTTTCAAGCCAATGATTGTTACAGTTTTCAGTCGCTTGAACTGGTTTATCTCCTCAAAGATAGTCAGAGATTGGTCTTCTTCTGGCTGTTTTGTAAGTTGTATATGCTCCACGTCAACATGGTCTTTGTATTGTTCTTGATGGAAAAGAAAAGTTGACTCGTGGTCATTCTCAGCAGGAGATATCTCCTTATCTACCTGGCCTGACTCATGTACTGGGTCGTTCTTTGTAAGTTTTATATGCTCCACGTCAACATGATCTTTGTATTGTTCTGGATGGAAAAGAAAAGTTGACTCGTGGTCATTCTCAGCAGGGGATATCTCCTTATCTACCTGGCCTGACTCAGGTCCTTGATCGTTCTCTTTAGTCTCTCTGTTTTGGTACTTCTTAACTGCATAGTGGAGACAGATAGCAACCCCCATACCAAGTAAAATTGTCAGAGCCCGCCTTCCATGGCCTCCATAGGGTACTACAACCGCCACTGCACTTTGTAAAAGGTTGGAAAACTCCATTCTATTACACAGTTTTAGATTGTAGGAATATGATTGATATAAATTTACTTCTATATGCCTTATGGTAAAATGATTATATCACTGACAGGGATGGGACGGAAATGCTGTGGTATACTCAGCGAGACACTCAATGGTTGGATCCTGTCAACCTGCAAGCATAAACGAAATGTCAAGACAACCAAATAAAGACCACGTTACTTGACTGAATATTGCGTCAGAAATAAAGTTGAAAAAAGCGTAAGATCTATGACATTCATTGGTCGTTTTTGCTTTTATACAAAGATGAATCAAATGGCAGCAAACAGTCCGACATTTGGTCAACTTAAACGAGTCACTGCGTGGAATAACATGTCCTGACTGAATTCGACTGAAAGTACCCGGTGAAACTTTACCTTTGTTTACACGTCACGTGGCTGTGGCAGGTTGTATTGTGTGGCTTTGATGGAGACAGTGGCTCAGGTTTCACCTTCCCCAGGGTACTGTACAAACATAACAGCACAGCAAGCGTTGGGTACGCGTCTCGCTCGGGTAATTATATGCACCACTTGGAATTCATACCCAGGTTGCTAATACCGTTTCCTACGTTCATACATACTTTTGGTACTATTATCATCATTAGCAGTCCAGTTGGTAGTCTAGATTAAGGTACATTTTACACATCTACAAATAATATTTGTTTTGCTTAAATATAAGAGTTCAAAATCACGGACAGCAACGTTATTTTGCTAACGCTGTCGCCAACTCATACATGTGAAACATTCGTAACATCTGCGATCTTACGCCGTACTTGCACAATCTATTTCCAGACAACAGTTAACAAAACCTTACAAGGCCTTCGATCCCTTGAAGTTGTGATTTTTGTTCTAATCTTCACCAGTCTTACCGTAATACTCCTACATTTTATATTCATCACTACCTGAACAAGAAGGTATAGGAGTGTCACTAAGATACGATAACATACATGAAATGAACGTAGGAAGATAGGAAATGTTACATTTCCAACCGTCAAGGTCTTTTACTATGTAATCTAGTAGCCAAGACGAACAAAACAGGCCAACTCTTTACAGAGCCCAAAGTGTCGGTCTAAGTTGATTACATACAAGAAAAGCACATGATGATAGTGTACTAAAATGATTGAGAAACCCTTACCAGATCCAACTCGTTGTGAATGCAGGTAGTAGGAATCAATGCACGTCGACCGGACTGGCAGCCTGCTCACTGTGAGACTTCCTCTTTCTGATGGCGGGACTTTCCACCAGACGCGGACGGATACCAGAGTAAATACCTAGACGACGAAGTAGTCCTTCACTTTCTTTCAGATTTTAGAGCGCACAGTAAGTTGTGCAAGGTAGAAAAATTACCCAAGATCGTCGTTGATGTACTGAAGCATCAAATGGCACCAGAAACGTCCGACTTTCAGATTGCGACTGTCTTTCTTGCCGTGGAGCGATACAAGCACGGTGTTGACGGAAACTTGGCACACCTGAAAGGTGTTCCCAAAATAGCGGCTTTGAGGTATGACGTAACTCTTACTTTTGGACGACCAGAATGACTGTGCTGTGGTCTAGAATATGCTATTTGTTTACTCATTTTTCTTCACTCCTACACAAGAATGGGCTTTTCCCACGAATTACCATGTTCACAATCAACGTTCCTGTGCAGCCATTTGGTCCCTGTGGCTATCCTTAAGCCCCACTTTACCGCTTTCTCTTATTGACTTGGTACGTCCCTCTGTGTTTGCACCGCTGTGCACAAAGGTGCCTGTCACTGCGATAGTACTTGTTTGCGTGGCCTTCATCCGCTCTGAAGCACGCTATTGGCGCAATCCATGTAGGCCGAAGATAAGACTGTTCCCTTTGATCTTTGAAAAGCAAAGTAGTGTAATTAACGTGATATATACATATCTGAAGATTGAGTAAAGAGACTCTTTTACACAACCAAGTGTTTTATTCACAGCCGACGTTTCGGTGACTGTCTGTCACCTTGCTTAGGGCAATTCTGACTGGTTCACATTGCATTACAGCACCTACTGTACAACTTCTTTTTTAGTATAGCTTGGTTGAAAAATGAATCGTGGCTTGTACTAGTATCTGATGATATGACTTCTTAGGAATTTATTGAACCATAGTTTAACGTGGAAGGATACTGTTACATGTGGTAACCGGTAAGTGACTAACGAAAAGTCCCTTCAAAGCTATATCAAGGGGATAACGTCATCACACAACCTGTCCACTGTTAGTAAATATTACCCCCAGCAATGGCGTGTGGTTCTAAAGTGTTTTTCAGGACTGAGCTCTGGCTAACAAAATGTTGAGGAAAGCATTACTCATCCAAGACTCAATACAAATGGAAGTTTCTCTGGGTTATCCTGTACTTGTTTACACACAAACCAGAAATATTAATCTAAATAAAAATTTTTAGGCACGCTGTGCACACAGCCTTGCAGTCGAAGGGGATTTACATGACGCTTTCTAAGGGACTTTTTGTGACGACTGTTCTAAATGCAACGCGCTGACTAAGCAGCAAAAATTTCCCCAGATGTTGACCGACGGCCAAAGTCAACCGGCCAGCAATGTTACTGCAGCGTTAGCAAATAGTTTTGGCGGCATGGTTACTAAAAGGACTTGATATGATAAACCTGGGGCGAGCCTAGAACATGGAATGTTTACCGATGGTGGATACCTGTGCCACCATGTGACTTCGCCATAAAGTTCTTAAATTTTAGTTTACTGCCTCCAAAAATTGGTCTTTGAAGACACGATTTTGAAGACACAATTGGTCTTTGAAGAAACTTTGGTAAGATGCTAACATTCGACATCCAACAAAACCATGCAACATCGATCGATAAAGAGAGGAATGTGGTTTTTATTATTTATTTACCACGTCTTAAGTCAATAAACATGTGTGCTCAAAGAACCCCATACAAAGAACAATAATCATTCATGAAAAACGCATTCCTTAAAGCAAGCATTTAGCGACATGATGCAAAAACCGCAAGAACTATTTCTCTGTAACATCCTTTGAAAAAGTAGACAAATTTGCTTTAAGATAAAGTTTTTTTTTAGACCAGTTTTTAACGGATGTTTTCAACAGTGCACGTTTACTTTGAACAAACAACAGACATCCTCCTCCCCGGCCCGCTATTGACTAACGGCCAAAGTACCAACTTTCACTATCGAGCTCCCATGACCAAAACACTACAACTTGGTCAAACATTAACGGCGGCCTGGCTGCTAGGAGTAGGACAAAAACAAGAGCCCGTGGCGTTTTTGCACACGAGCCTATATATGTCAATAAATGCTGGGTGCGTGCCTCACTGTTGTTCTTGTACTCAGCATTTTGTTTACGTCGTGCTCACCCTTTTCTTAGCCGCTTCACAATGATCCACAAGAATCATGGTTCTTACGGAAGGCACTCACCACCTAAACAGGCCTGACCCTATAAATGACGGAAATAAGTACGTCCGACTCCTGGTCCCCTTTTATCTCATCAATCTTGGTCTTAGTGCTTGGTCCTGCATTCCGTCCTTGTGCCTTAATGTGGCGTATTGGTCCCTCTCTGGCCAATGTATACTGCCTGGCCAATTTGCCTTGTCTCTTTGTCACCCTAGGATCTTCTTGGAGATTACGTGTGCCCTTACCCGCTAACGTAGGTTGATGCGAACTGATATTACAAATGTTATTGTGACGTAGCGATAATTGCACTTAGATATAGTGAGGTGATGACATAACCTAGCAATGTTAGCCTTAGTATTATAAGCATCACTAGCGTAGTGTTCTTATGTTCTTCGCATGCATGAGCCCGCTGCATGAAGGAAGTCCAGAAAAGAATAGTTTGTTGCTAAAACCAGGCCGTAGAAGCGTTGTGCTGACCAAAACGACCACTTGCTGAAACATTTATCTGAGTTTTTACTCCTCAAATCCTCTCTGCTACCCTCAGACAACTATGATTGCATGCTCCCATAGCTAGGATTACTCTGTCCTATCCCACCCCCTTCAGAGATCTATCATTTCTGTCAAATTTGGGTATATACGACTGTACCTATAGATAGCCTTTAGGAATTGAGTATGAGATTCAATGTCAATTTTTTTAAGTTTTCCTACCTGCAGTTGTTGGCCTAATTTCTTAGCTCTTTCATTAATTAATTGACAAACGTTGATTGAATCATCCTAATGCTTCCACCGTTTATGACATTCTATTTAGCCTTATAGCAACTCACATAATTTTACTTCTTCTCTTTTGCAGGTGTTAGAAGAAATTTATTGCCTACCAGGAAAAGAAAATGATGACATTAGTATCATTTTTATCCACCAAATGCTTTAATATCATCATCTTCAATATACACCAGACGCTTAACACAGATTGGCACTTGATGAGAATATTGTTTGCAATGTTATGATGCACATACTGTTTCTTCTACTAGTACATTACACCCCACTTATATACAGCAACACACATATTCTTTTGCATCTTAACATATGACGTCATGTATATACAATACGTACAACTTCAGTGATATTGGTCAAGAAATGAAATATGCTGAAATCATACAAAGTTCTTTCCAACCTATTAAAGGGTGTCTACACAAAGGTGAGGTCCATAAGTATGTCTTAAAACATACTTGCCCCATTTCAAGTTTGTAAGTTGCTGGTAATTGTTACATACATTAGATATAGTTTCAAGTAACAAATGAATGAGCTGCAAAGTGATTCTCTCTCTCTATATATATATATATAGGTCACTACGTATACATTAGTCATCCATGCAGTACTACATTTAAATCTGTCCAGCAATGAGACTTTTGTCAAAAGATATTGTTATAAACAAAGTTTAACCAATGCCAAGTAAATGGAGGATTTTTTGGTGTATATCTTCGCATTTTTGTTGTAGCAGATAATTTGATGTCAAAGTACCATTGGAGTCAGTGCTCCTTCAACCTAGCACAATCTCAGGGATTTCGTAATCATCCAGAGATGATATTGTGTCATGGTCAACTTTAGCCTCTCGGAGGTAACGTTGCAAGTTCTGACGTGTGGAATTCCCCCCCTTCCTGTTTCTCCATGTTGTTAGCATCGTGAAGATCTGTTGCTCCATGTTGTGGGGATGGTTATACTTGAACTTGTACACGTCTGCTGGGGTGAACCCCATGTGGATGGCGAGGCTTTCCCACTCTGCTCCCAGCTTTTTAGCCACGCGCAAAAGCTGTCGGTCGGATACTACCGGTGACACGTACGTGTACGTGTTGGCATCATCATTAATCGTCAAATACCGGTAACGTCTCAATACTTTCTCTGTGAAAATAGAATTGTACAAAGTACAAAGACATTACATGGTGAAAATTGAGTGTTCAACATACCTGTAGATGTCAGATACCTTTGTGTCCGTATATATGTAATAAATATATATGTATAAAACCACTGGTAATGGTTTTCTTTTCCGGAAAATACCAGTCTCAATGTAATGTGGGCAGAAAAGGTAGCCTGTTTTTAGGAAGTTGTCCTAGATACACATTTGAAAGTTTTCCTTCAGAAGCTTTAAATCTGTGGTATGAAATCATGACCATTACAGCTTTCAAGCATTTCCAAAAGCATACCTGTTTATGAACAAAGTTTTGTGTGGTATGAGAGGTAAGAGGCAATTCACAGATAACGTCCCATTACGTCAGTTCACCATCAACAGGTTTCTTATTCATACCTGTGTATTGTGCATCATCATCTTGTCGGATGTATCCAGCAGTGACACTCATATAGAGATGGAAGACAAAAGGACACTGTATCTCACATATGATGTTAGTGCATCTATTTAGTGTGGAGAAAGTTTAACAATATTTACCGCGGATATTATCCAAAGACGGGGGTGTTGGGGGCATTAGAAATTCTACAGAAACCCTTTCGTGGCAGAGGGAGCAGATCTCTTCTGGCTGTGTGGAACTGGGATGTAGCCAGTTCCCAGGAAATGATGGCTGGTGACACTTCGGGCAGACAGTCAATCGGTCAAACCAGACACCTGGGGAGGAAAGCATAAAGCCTTTAATTTTTTGGGTGTTGTTATCAAGGTTGAAAATAGAAATTTCTAGGAATTGAAGTGTGGTTCGTACCATTTTGTGCAATGGCATTAAAATCATGAACACCTCTGTGTGTGAAAAAGTATCTGTTATAAAATATTAGTATAGATACTGCTACGACATGAAATATTTATGTAAATATCAAACCTGGCCACTGCTTCAGAAGGTCTTCAACCTCCATGCTTAAGGGTTTCAGCGTCTCCCATAGATTGTTCACGGTGACATCAGCAGCGTGCTGTGGACTCTCTGGTCTAGCACTGAGTGAAACAGCCTGCCCTTCTGCTTCATACTTCAAAAGCACCATTATCCTGTATCTTTTGTGCTTACACAAGGTGCCAGTTTTCCAATGCAAAACGAAGTGTAGGTTGTGTTTTGGGCGGTGTGCTCTCACAGTGAGGCGGGCAAACAGACCAGGAGGGATGAAAGATGGAAACTGATATTGAAGTGAAATGATGGGACTCTCCCCTGATTCCCATTGGGCTTTAGCCATGTCCCCCATGTCATCCTTTATGTGCCACGGTAACAGGAGTCTCTGTGAACTCTGGGGCAGCGCTTCGCTTCTTAAGACCCGTTCCCGTGGTAACAGTTCTCTTTCCTGTTGCTCTTCAATGTCATAACAAAGATCAAACTGTCGCATCAGTTCAATCAACACCTGAAAAATGGCGTTGAATGTTCCCGAGCGACAGTTCTTTTCAACATCTGACCACAGACACCTGAGCAGTTTGGTATGTAGAATTCCTTTCTCAATTAAGTCATTCTTCATCTTCTGAAATTCCCCTTGCGATATTTCGGCCTCTCTGTAGCAAGGATCCGAACTGTAATTGATGACTGTTTCAAGATCATGCCGAATGACCTTCCTGAAGATATCTACAAGTGAAGATGGCTTCAGAAACACATGATTTCTTAACGACTCTATTTCTGAATACCACAGGATCTTGCCTGTATCATGGAGATATTGCGCAACAGTTTTGATTCGAGACTCTGGCTGCAGATTTGGGACATTCTCTTTTAGTAAAGCCGTGAACTCATCCCAAGTCATGTATGGAAAGCTGAGCTCTTTGCCTTTTCTCTCGACACAAGCTTCAGTGTCTGCCCACGCTTTTGGTACGGGGCGACCTACCTCAGGAAAGTACTCTTTATTCACAGCATAGTTGAGAATCACTTGCTTCAAATACTGAGTGCCTTCAAGTGACTCGGCTGAGCTGACAGGCACGGGCTTTGGGTGTATTGTTGGCATTTTCTCAAGAAGAGACTCAATTTGTTTCTTTCTGTCTTTGACAGTTTGTACCACTGCTTCTGGCCCCAAATGTGATTCATTGATACGTTTCAGCTGTCTCCTTAAATCCTCAATGCGCGTTCTCTCTTGATCTGCAAGCTTTCTAGCCAAATCGTCACACCTGTCTCTTACTTCTACTCCCGAGAGCTTATCGATATGAGTGACCACAGGAATGACGACTGGGTTCCCCACCTTAGCTATCATGTTTTCCAACCATTTCCCACATGTGGAATCAAAGATGACCGAGTCATATTTCTTAAGGTCCACAATCAAAAGCACGAGGGCCTTTGCGCTCAGGAAGAATTGGTGAGTTATGTAGTATGTTTCTTGGCCGGCAAAGTCCCACACAGACAATGTAATATCAGGGGTGTTTGGGGCTGACAGAAGTAACTCTGCTATGTCTATGCCATGTGTTCTTTCCTCAGGTTTAGTCAGAGATGAACGGTTCATTTGAAGAGCTCTGACAAGGCTGGTTTTCCCTGCTTCATAGGCCCCCAAGAATAGTGTTTTAAGACATTGAGTGATACTGCTCTCAGTTGTTAAATCTTCGTAGAATGCTTGAATAGCGGACAGGCCTGCCTGACACACCTGTAAGGGGGGATCAATGATGGGGTTATAGCGCAGATATAGCTTAACATCTTTACGCATACCCATGATAGACTCTGGGATGTGTCTTATTCCATTGTAACTTAAGTCGACCTTCTTTAATCTTTCCATCTGAATGAGAGCTTCTGGGAAATAGAATAGACTGTTTGATGCTAAGTCGATCACTTCAAGCACTGACGACTCATCTCTTTGCAAGGGGCTGACAGAATTGATCTGATTGTTTGAGGCATGAATCTCAACTAGACTCGGAAGTCCAGTCACGTGAGACGGGATCTCATTTAGTCTGTTACGGGACACGTCAAGAACTGAAAGGCTCTTACAACTCCTCACGTTTGCACTTATTGTGTTGATTTTGTTTTGCTTGAGGTCTAGCTCCTCCAATGAAGGAAGAAAGCAAAGAGGTAGGGGTATGTCCTTTAACCTATTGTCACTAAGATCGATGACACGTAGCATGGGAGAAAGGTTATTTAAATCCAAATCTGATGGAAGCGTTGTTATCTGGTTACCACCAAGTAGCAATGTTTTTAAAGTTCTTATCAACAGCAAGCTGGAAGGCCCTTCGCAAATCTTATTGTTACTCAGATCAACGAACTCTATGTTCTGCGACACATTCGCTGGGTCTAGCGGGGGTAGGACTTGTATTTTGTTGTTACTGCACGAAAAAGCCTCCAAGCTTTCCATTTCAAGTATTTCAAACGGAATCTCTTCGATGTCATTGTAACACAAGTCCAAAGCATTGAGAGCTCGCAGTGTTTTCACAACACGCCCAATGACTGTTATCTTGTTGTGGCTTACATTGAGACTCTTCAAACAGGGCATTAAGCGAATAGGCCAAGATGGTAATGTTACCAGCCGATTATGACTGAGGTCGAGAATTTCTAAGTCTTTTAAGTTTGCAAGAGAACGGGGTACTTGGGCCAGCTGGCATTGTGACAATTTTAGAGACCGAATGGTAGTACATTGGAACAAATGTGACAGGCTACATTCATCCAATTTGAAGCCAATAATCGTAACAGTTCTGAGTCGCTTGAAGTGCTTTATCTCTTTAAAGATGGCGAAAGACTGGCCTTCTACGGGCTCTCCTGTCAGCTTTATATGCTCGTCATTACTGTGGTCTTTGTATTGGTCTACATTGAAGAGGAATGTCGACTCGTGGTCTTCATCGCAGTTTTCTCTGCTACAGATGGGGCATTTTAAGGTATCCTGTTCTTCCTGTTGAGGGGAAACATCCTCAACTCTGGACTCATCTACCAGACCTGACTGGGGTACATGGTCTTTGACTTCGGACTGTCTTATCATGTTAGCTAAGGCTGATAGAGACCATTTGTCAGAATCTAGCTTCCAATCTTACACCCCCCCCCCCATGTTGATACCACCCATCGCCACCAACAATGCACCTTCTTAAAGATTGGAACAGGCCATTGTATCACAAAATATAAGACTAAACAAGCGAATTGAATGAATGAATTGTATGATTATGGACAGAAGGGCAGTGGTTTACTCATGCAGTGTTCCCTGTCAACCTGCAACAAAAGACATGCATATGCTGTTAAGAGATCACGTAACTTCTGTAACTGTGGTGAATACATGCAACGTTGATACGTTAGCAAAAATGTTCTAAAAGTACATGTATTGCTTTTATTATTTTGGTCATTTAAGAGAAATAGCTGCTACATCAATAAAAGTCTACCCGAGAGCCGTCTGGCTACTATGTCCTCATCCGCTTAAAGTATCAAACTCCAGGTGACGTTTACCTTTGTTTACTTCTCTCGCAGCTGCAGTAGACCGTGTTGTGTGGCGTCACGTTGATAAGGGTCGTGGGTCACATTACTAGACACTCTGCAAACATAGTAAATAATCGAGTGTTAGGTACGTGACTCGTCAGGCGAATGCATGCACCATTTGTGGTATCTGTATGACGTAGAATCTGCTGTTTCCAGATACCAGATAAAACCTTACAACATTATTTTTTGTCCTTTTTTGGTGGACGTACAACATGTAGCGTGCCATGCTTACCACAATGGTATGCGTCACCCTAGCAAACACCAGGCATAACTCTGCTATTTAAATCTGGTAAACCAGATTGGAAAGTTTTGTGTTTGTGGCAATAAAATATGACAATAATACTTAACACGTACACTGTTCGTATGAAAATAACATTACCAACTGGTAACATTTTTTACTATATAGCCCAGTAGGTCGTACGACCACAGAAAGAAAATGGCGCAAATCTAGTCCATAGTTTCGGTCTCCCTCATACTCGAAAACAGGCAAAGCACCTGTTGATAGTGTACCAAATCGGATTGAGAAATTCTTACCAGGTTCAACTCGTGAGTACAGTAGGAGGTGGTACTGGAGAAATGTAGACAGGAGGTAGGAAGTACTGCACATCGACAAGACTAGTAGCCTGCTTACTGTGAGACTTCCTCTTTGTAATATAATGGCGGGACTTTCCACGAGACGCGGAAGAATACCAGAGTAAATACCTAGACGACGAAGTAGTCCTTCAGTTTCTTTCAGCTTTTAGGGCACACAGTAAGTTGTGCAAGGTAGAATGTTACCCAAGATTGTCGCTGATGTACTGAAACATCACATGACATCGACAAGGACAGCTTGTAGGACACGGCTACCTTGCCGAGGAGGGATACACACAGTGTTAACGGCTACTTGGCACACCTCAAAGGTGTAACGTTAATGATCCAAAAATAACGCAGCTTTGGGTGATGACATCACACTTTTACTTTCGGGCAACCAGAACGGCTGAGGTGTAGAATGTGCTTTTTTCAGATTTGTTTACTCATTTTTTCACTCCTTCACGCTTACAATCAACGTTCTTGTGCAACTATTTGGTCCCTGCGCCTACCCTTAAGTACATTTTCCCACTTAACCTTTTTTTTATACTTGGTAGGTCCCTTTGTGTTTGCACCGCTGAGCACAATGCCGCCTGTCACTGGTATTTAGTACTTGTTGCGTGACCCTCGCCCGTCAAGTATGCTGTTGGCGCGATCCAAAGATAAGACTGTTCCTTTTGAGCTTTGAAAAACAAAGTACTGTACAGTACAGTAGTGTAATTAACGTGATGTATACGTATATGTTTATATCATACCCGGGCCGCGATAACGTTCGATAACGGGTTCCGGACCGGGCCGTACTTTACGGTACGGCCCGGGCTTCCATGGCTTCCATAGACCGATTGGAACGCGTTTTGCCCTAACTGCGTGTGCCGCTTTCGAAAATTCGAATACAGAATCCGGACGTTGGAACTGATGTTGTTGCATTTTAGGGTTTAGGGGCACCAAATTTCGGCTCATTTTGCATCGAAAGGGGCGTTTTCTTGAGTGGGTATGACATATATGTATAAGTAAAATAATACAACACGGTGTATTCCGCATCGCCCTCGGTCCCGGCCCGACCGCAAGTCGGATGGCCCTCGGCCTTTGGGCGATCCGACTCGCGGTCGGGCCGATACCTCGGGCGATACGGAATACCCTGTTGTATTCTATATGTAGATTGAGTAAAGAGGCTCCTTTTAATATAACACGACTGTGTTTTATTCACAGCCGACGTTTCGGTGACCGTCTGTCACCTTCCTCAGGGCAATTCTGACTGGTTCACATTGCACTGCAGCACAGGTGTCGCTGCTACAGATGCATTCCCAAATGTACAATTTTTACATATATGCAGGGAACCGTATCTACACCTGTGGTGCAGTGCAACGTGAACTAGTAAGAAAAGCCCTGAGGAAGATGACAGACGGTCACCGATGACAAACGTCGGCTGTGAATAAAACTTGGTTGTGTAACTTACCAACCCGATGAAACTATTCACATATCTGTAGCTTGTATGAAAGGTTGTCCGCATGAATCTCAACTTTATTCTGTTCGTTACAGCCATGAAAATTCACAGGCTGAATCCAGAAGCTCTGAACAAATATATATAGAATACAACACGGTGTATTCCGTATCGCCCGAGGTACCAGCCCGACCGCGCGTCGGATCGCCCGAAGGCCGGAGGGAGATCCGATCCGCGGGAGGGCTGGGACCGAGGTCATACCCACCCAAGAAAACACGCCTTTTAATGCGAAATGGGCGAACATTTGGTGTCCCTAATTAGCTAAACCCAAAACAAATGCACCAACATCAATTCCAACGTCCGGATTCTGTATTCGAATTTTCGAAAGCGGCACACGCAGTTAGGGCAAAACGCGTTCCAATCGGTCTATGGAAGCCATGGAAGCCCGGGCCGTACCGTAAAGTACGGCCCGGTCCGGAACCCGTTATCGAACGTTATCGTAGCCCGGGTATGATATATATATATCACGTTAATTACACTACTTTGTTTTTCAAAGCTCAAAAGGAAGTCTTATCTTTGGATCGCGTCAACAGCATACTGAATGAATGAATGAATGAATGAACTTTATTGCTCGACAATCGTACATGGTACAATGTGTGGCAGTAATACAACAATACTACAAAACTAAACTATCTTATTACATTTCTTACTACAAACTACTATCTATACAGTATATGAGTCACAATATGTTCATAAATTGATGATTTGGTCTCGCTTATGAAATAAGGTGTACAGAAATTGACCTACGTAAGCAGATATGGTAGTAGAACATGACAATAATTCATAGAATGTATCGTACTGTGTACTAGATTGGGTGAACTTGACGGGCAGGGTCACGCAACAAGTACTAAATAGCAGTGACAGGCGACATTGTGCTCAGCGGTGCAAACACAAAGGGACGTACCAAGTATAAGAGAAAGAGGTAAAGTTGGGCTTAAGGATAGCCACAGGGACCAAATGCTTGCACAGGAACGTTGATTGTGAACATGGTAAATCGTGGGAAAAGCCCATTTTGTAGGTGTAGAAAAGCCCATTTTTAGGAGTGAAGAAAAATGAGTAAACAAAAAGCACGTTCTAGACCACAGCATGCACAGTCATTCTGGTCGTCACACCTAAAAACCGTTATTTTGGGAACACCTTTCAGGTGTGCTAAGTTTCCGTCAACACCGTGCTTGTATCGCTCCACGGCAAGAAAGATAGTCGCAATCTGAAAGTCGGACCTTGCTGGTGCCATTTGATGCTTCAGTACATCAGCGACGATCTTGGGTAATTTTTCTACCTTGCACAACTTACTGCGTGCTCTAAAAGCTGAAAGCGACTGAAGGACTACTTTGTCGTCTAGGTATTTACTCTGGTATCCGTCCGCGTCTCGTGGAAAGTCCCGCCATTTGGAAGAGAAAGTTTCAAAGTTGGCAGGCTGCTAGTCTTGCCGATGTTCACTGATTCCTACTGCCTGTCTACACTTCTCCAATACCACCTTCTACTGTAGTCACAACGAGTTGAACCCGGTAAGAATTGCTGAATCCTCTTTGGTACACCATCAACAGGTGTTTTGCCTGTATTCGGTAGACTATGAGGAATGGGGGGGGCCGAAACTGTGGACTAGATTTGCGCCATTTTCTTCCTGTGGTCGTAAGACCTACTGAGCTACATAGTAAAAGACGTTAACGATCGGTAATGTGATTTTCCAACGAACAGTGTACGTGTTAAGTATTATTGTCATATATTAATGCCACAAACACAAAAGTTTTCAATCTGGCTAACCATATTTGAATAGCAGAGGTGTACCTGGTGTTTGCTAGGGTGACGTGTACCATTGAGTTAATTAAGCTTCTTTACATGTTGTACGTCCACCAAAAGTACAACGAAATCATCGACCTTGTAAAATTTTAACTGGTATCTGGGAACAGATTCTACAGATACGACAAATAGTACATGCAGTCACCTGACCGATCGCGAGGCACATACCCAACACAAGGTTATTTATTATGTTTGCACAGTGCCCCCGGCCCTGTAATGTGACACTTTGGCCACGACCCTACTGCAGCCGCCAGACGAGCAACAAAGGAACTTTTACCTGGATATTGATCGTTATGTGTTTTTTCTGTCAGCGTCTTGGTGTATAAATGCTGCCAACGCACCCAGCTGGTCTTTTATTGGTGGTTATCTGTTTAGTACAGCTAATTAGTGAAGACGTTACGTCTCATATTTTCTCATGGTTGTGTTGGTTCAATGACAACGTGAGGTAAATATTTTAGCCAAGGCCACACAAAGCAATTTACTGTTGCTGTGAACTCGATCAAACAAAGGTATGAAAGTCTGTTCGCAATATTGCTTTCAATGCATTGATTCATTGATTGGCGGCGTATATACTGCTTATGCACACAATTATTCAGAACTATATTGTATTGTGTTTTGTGAGCAGCATAAGTTGCAAGTAATGTTATAATATTTTCAAATCCTCAAACTAATGTGTCAGTCGCAATCAACAGTCATGAATTTCTTCTTATTACAGATACCACATTGTCTCACTGAGTATACCACAATCCTACCACAACCCTCCCTCATATTTTGTTCTTTATCTAGCAGCTCGCGTATTTCAGTGATTATCTTGACTTTGCAAAGCGTTGTGAAGACATATAGTGGCATGGACAAGTCTGAAGTATCGCGTCAGGATAAAGAAATCATCCAAGAATTTATTACCATAATATTGTTCATAGCATTTGTCATAATATTTTTCATATCATGTATACAGGTAATTTTATACATATGGGATATCATTTACACGTGCCTTGAGTACCTATTCAAGGGACTTGTTAACTGCCTTGAATACCTAATCGAGAAACTTGTTAACTGCCTTGAATACCTAATCGAGAAACTTGTTAACTGCCTTGAATACCTATTCAAGAAACTTGTTAACTGCCTTAGATACCTATTCAAGAAACTTGTTAACTGCCTTGAATACCTATTCAAGAAACTTGTTAACTGCCTTAGATACCTATTCAAGAAACTTGTTAACTGCCTTAGATACCTATTCAAGAAACTTGTTAACTGCCTTAGATTCCTATTCAAGAAACTTGTTAACTGCCTTAGATACCTATTCAAAAAACTTGTTAACTGCCTTAGATTCCTATTCAAGAAACTTGTTAACTGCCTTAGATTCCTATTCCTTAAACTTCTGAAGAGACCATGACAGACTCCCAATTCAAGAAACCTCTGAAGAAGATAACTGACAGCTCCCAGGATAAATCCCCACAACAGGTTGGGCAGGGTTCTCCAGTATGCCCTTTCTGTAACAAAGACAACTGTGCTGAAGGCCACGAGTCGACATTCCTTTTTGACCGAGACCAATACAGAAAATACTCTAATATAGAGTATATTAAACTTACACAGCATGGAGAAAGACGTCCTTTGACAATTTTTCCAGAAATTAGCCAATTCAAGCAATTAAAAACTGTAGCTATAACTGGCTTAAAGTTGGATGATTCTACTTTGTCTAATTTATTCAAGTGTACTTCTATTCAATCTCTTAAGTTGTCAAATTGCCAGCTGACGTCTGTGCCTGGTTCCCTCTCTGATTTGAAAGACCTTGAAATTCTTGATCTTAGTCACAACGATCTGACAAATCTACCAGCTACATCTATTCGCTCAATGTCCTGTCTTAAGAGTCTGAACGTAAGCCATAATCGTATACGGGTCATCGGGCGACAAGTCAAGAAGTTTCAAAGTGTGCAGCATTTTGACATGTCTTACAATGACATCAAAGAGCTGCCATATGAACTACTTGAAATGGAAAACTTACAGAGTTTGTCATGCAGTCACAACAAGATAACAGGATGGCTCGGGCCAGCTAATGCTGCTAAAAACACCATTGCATGTTCTTTGAGCTTCCTTGACCTGTCAAATAACCTGCTTATTGCCGTTCCAAAACCAGTGAAGGAACTAAAGAATCTATCGGTGATTATCCTCTCAGATAATAAGATAGGAGCAAATGCAAACCACAAATTATTACGACAGCAAATTGCTGATCTCTTTTACCTTCCCTTGGTGTCTAAATTACAGCTTGCTGGAAACAATATCAAAAGCTTGCCACCGTTGGACATGACCAAAATTTCACCGAAGATAGAGTTGCTTGATTTCAGTAACAATGAGATTTATGAGGTGCCTTCAGCTTTTCTGTTGTTGCCAAATTTGCAATCATTGTTATTAGGTGGCAATAATATCACAAAGCTTCCAATGGACTTGGACCTAAAGATCTATCTCGATCATTATGTGTCATCGACCTCAATAACAATGAGCTGGTCGATTTTCCTCTGGCTATCTGCTTTCTCCCTTCATTGGAGAAGCTGCACATGAAACAAAACAGATGAGAAAAATAGTGAAAACATCAAACGTTGCGGTGCTCTTTCCTTTCTTGACGTGTCTGCCAACAGGCTGAAGGAGATACCTTCTTATGTCCTCGGCCTACCGAAGCTTGTAGAGATTCATGCATCAAACAATGAGATAAGTTCCGTCAGCTCTCTGCAAAAGGATGGATTGTCACTGGTAAAAGTAGTGGGCTTGGCAAATAACGCCTTTTCACATTTCCCAGAGGTTCTCATGAGGATGCCAAATTTGAAGGAAGTTGACTTGAGTGCCAACGAAATCAAGCTTATTCCAGAGTCTATCAGAGACATGCCTGATGATGTTAGGCTAAACCTGCAAGACAATCCTATCATCGACCCTCCTTTGGAGGTATGTCAGGCAGGAGTACAGGCCATAGTTGCATTCCAGGAAGACTTAACCACAGCCAGCAGTATCACACAATGTCTCAAAACTCTGTTCTTGGGGACCTATGAAGCTGGGAAGACCAGTCTTGTTCGAGCACTTGAACTGAATCGCTCTGATTTGACTAGGCTAGAGGACAGAACACATGGGATAGAAATAAAAGATATTAGACTGGAAATGCCAAATACCTCCGATATTACGTTATCTGTGTGGGACTTTGCTGGTCAGGAAATATACTACATAACTCATCAATTCTTCTTGAGTTCAAAGGCCCTCATGCTTCTAGTAGTGAATCTGGAGAAGTATGACTCAGGCAACTTTCCCTCCACATGCGGGAACTGGTTGGAAAATATGATAGCTAAGGTGGGGAACCCGGTCGTCATTCCTGTTATTACCCATATCGACAAATGTCCTGAGAAAGTAGCCAATGTGTGTAACGACTTGGCCAAGAAGCTTGCAAAGCAAGAGGAAAGGCGTATTAACGATCTACAGCGACAGCTGGATCGTATCGATGAATCATCACCTGAATCAGTTGTAATGAGAGACAGAAGGAAGAGAATCGAGGTTCTTCTTCAAAACAGGCCCGTAATACATCCGAAACCTGTACCTGTCAGCTCGAGTGAATCACTTGAAGGTATTCAGTATTTGACTCAAGTCATCCTCAACTACGCTGTGAACAAAGATTTCTTTCCTGAGGTCGGTCGAACGGTTCCAAAAGTTTGGGCAGACACGGAAGAAAGTGTCAAAAGTCTGGGTGACGAGGGAAACCCTCTAAATTACATGACTTGGAGTGATTTTGCGTCGCGCTTGACAAAAAAGGTTCCCAATCTGCAGCCAGAGTCTCGCACCAAAACTGTTGCGCAATATCTCCACGATACAGGCAAGATTCTGTGGTATTCAGAAATCGAGTCCTTAAGGGAGCATGTGTTTCTCAAGCCGGCTGCGCTTGTAGACATCTTTAGGAAAGTTATTCGGTATGACATTAAGAAAGTTGTTGATTATGAGTCAGACGGTTGCTACAGTGAGGCCGGGATAACACGCGCGGCCTTTGACACAATGAAAAATGACCTACTCAGGAATGGAATACTCGATACCAAATTGCTAAGATGTTTGTGGTCAGATGTTGAAGAGAAATGTCGACAAATGCAAGGAACCTCACCTCAAGGAACATTCGATGATATTTTTCCTGTACTGATTGAACTGATGAAACAGTTTGAACTTTGTTATGACCTTAGCAACGAAGAGGATGGCGGTCATAGCAAACTTCTGTTGCCCTGGTGCATAAAAGAAGACTTGGGAGACAAGGCCATAAGGCAATGGGAAAAGGGAGTGGGTCCTGTCATTTCACTTCAGTACCAGTTTCCATCTTTCATCCCTCCTGGCCTGTTTGCCCGCCTGACTGTCAGAGCGCACACCCCAAAACATTGCTTGCACTTCGCTATGCACTGGAGTAGTGGTATATTGTGTAAACACAAAAGCAACAGTATAGTCGTGCTTTTGAAGAATGAGGGTACGGGAAGGCTTGTGGTTTCACTCAGTGCTAGACCAGAGAGCAAGAACGCGGACCGTGAGAGAGTAACTACAGACCTTTGGAATACGTTGCAAGGGTTAAGTTTGGAAGTGGAGGAACTCCTGAAGCAATGGCCAGGTAAGAGTTTTGTCGACTATGCAAAATGCACAGGTATCTATAGAAGGCTCATTTCGAAGGAAAAGTGCTACAGCTTTTTATACCAGTCACAATAAAATGGACATCTTTTCCGACTATTTACATTCTACGACTTTTCTATTTTCTAAACCTGCATATGCGCATATGACATCCTCTGTATAAACTTGGCTTCATGTTTCCTACCACAGGTGTCCGGTTTGACCGGTTCGCCGTCTGCCCTAGCTGTCACAAGCCGTCATTTCCTGGGGTAATGGCTACACCGGACTTGCAGAGGGTCAGAGGAACGAGAGATCTGCTCCTCCTGCAGCGAAAGGGTCCTGCATAAATGTCTGGTACCACCGCCAGCGCGCGGAACAGGCCGATCTACTCTTCCAGGTGGGTGCACTAGTACTGTTCTATGACTATAGCAACATTCGACGAAAGGAAGTATGAGTGAGTGAGTGAGTGAGTGAGTGAGTGAGTGACAGTGTACATTTGACACTTCCCAATAGCGATGATTACTTTCCCATCTCCTCTGTCCAGGGGACCTGATTCATCCAGGACTGATCTTCAACGACTATCCGATCGGCAGCTGTTGAAGTCGCTAAAAAGCTGGGAGCAGAGTGGGAAAGCCTCGCCATCCAAATGGGTTTCACAGGAGCAGACGTGGACAAGTTCAAGTGTGATCATCAGCATAACATGGAGCAACAGATCTTCTCAATGTTAAGAGCTTGGAGAGACCGAGAAAGACGTAAAGCGACAGGGCAAAACTTGCAACGTATTTTCCAAGAGGCAGGACTTCATTGTGACGCGATATCATGATGAGCCTTACCCTTAAAATTTGAACACAGTCAAATAAAATGTTTTATCTTTTTTGACACTGGCAACAGATACAAACCACTGGTGGAGGCACTGTTGCTAGACAAGAAGTTAGATATTGACAATGCCGTATAATGTTGGCAACACTATGGCAACTGTATCGATATCCCTAGCATTGAAAGGAAAACAGCTGAATATTGTATATGTTTACCGACTGAAGACAGTATATCAATAAAATCAAAATATCGCATTCTTTTCTTTCATTATTTCCATCGATGAATGTTGCATGGTCTGGTTGGATCTTGAATATATATCCAAAGTTTAGTCAAAGGCAATTTTTTATACAACTAAAATTTAAGATATTTACTTACTGCGAAGTCACGTGGTGGAACATGAATCCACCTTCGGTAAACACAACATGTTATTTGGCTGCCCCAGGTATGAAGTCCTGGTAACCATGCCGACAAAAATATTTACATGCATGGGATGCTTGAAGTTAGGACTTTGGCCGTTTATCAAATAATAGCGGGGAAACGTTTCCCTAATTTAAAGGACACTAGTCATATTAATTCCCTAATCATGAAAGCCCCTCATAGAGTGCACTACTTGTTGAAAGTAATGGTGATTACCTGCAAGCAATACCTATAGTTTACACTGGAATACGTTAGCGACATTGATAGAGAACGCTGTGTAGTCCTTCTGCGGGGTATCTTTGCACAGTTGTGCAGAATATTTTTTATACATTAAGGCTAACCTCACATAAGTGCATACAGGACAGCAACAACTGCCACCAGCAGCCCCCACCCAACCCTCAGACCGATCGCCCCCGATCCTTTATACATGTACGACTTCTCTCCAACGTATATCTTCCACACACGGAAGTTAGGCTCGGGCCCAGTGATGTTCAGCTCGTTGAACAGGAACTGTTGGAGTTTGTTGGACACAAACCACAGATACCCCTCGTCGTCAAATCCGAAGGCGTTCGGCCATTGCATCCTGACGTCACTGATGAGGAGGGGCGATGACGTAGACACATCTTGCGATGACGCGGTGTCCCACGTATACACGGCGTTGAGTTGCAGCGCGCCGTAGTACAGCGTGCCTTTGTTGGAAATGGCGATGCCGTCACTCTGGGAAGCCTTGCGACCTGTGAAGGAATTTCAACTTTGTTTCAGCGTTAAGATTGGCAAGAAAGTATAGAGTGATAGTAGCGGCAACTTTTTGGGTCATTGGCCATCGAGTGCCGGAGAGAAGGCACGAGTCTGTAATTTTCCGTCCCCAATTTGGCCAAGGACAAGGTTAGTCACCTCTACTCTTCTCCCTAAGTGTCTTGGGTTCTGTTCTTTAACGTGAAGAGGTTTTATGCCTGATGCCCCTACCCCTATTGCCGGGACAAAAGTCTAATGTTCTCTCTCAAGGGGTATCTGGTCGCTGATGCAGCCGCCTCACACCATGCCTAAGCGGACATCGAACCTCTGCCAGAATCAGTAGTAGCTCCTCGTCTTCTGAATCCATATGGTAAAGGCCGGGACTGATTCATCGCTTACAACACAGGAACAAGGTATTGTTGTTATTGTTTTGCAACTGATGTATTGTTTTGCAAAATGTCTCTGGGTATTTATTTTTCTTGTATGTGAACATGTCCTTTGCCTTTATTCTTTGAAATTACAATAAAGATTATTTGGAAAAAAGTACGTAGAGAGAACCACCTCGTTCAGGAAGTACAATTGTACCTACCTAGATCTTTCACGCTGGACCCAACATCTGCCACTGTGGGTTGTTTCAGAATGCTCGTCGGCAGAGAGAAGAGGTTGTAGCTGGCCAGCGGGCAGTAATACAGCTGTAAGAAAAAAAATTGATTGTTTTTTTATCTATTCATGCAAACATTCCTAAATGCAAACGACTTCAACGAGTAGGCTTGGCCAAACTTTTCTGTACATATGTATATGAAGCTACATAGTCACAATCCAGGGCTCGAAGCCACCTGCAGGTAAAATTTGTCAGGTGCGGGTTACTTCCAGTGCTACCAGTGCAGATATGCAGGAAAGAATTTCGACCCCTGGTGGCAACGTTTCAATGAATTTGAAAACGTATGGTCTGTCATTGTGTTAACCGAAGGAAAACATATTGTTTTTGCTCCATTTCTTCATCTGTTCCAAACACTAACCTCTGACCTGGCCAATGACATGATTTGTTGACGTCTGCCACCATAGTAACTGGTGTTGGGTTACATAATGTTACAATTTCATAGTAGGCATTTAGACACCTGTCACCATATACATGTATGTGAGTGTGTTTGAGTAAGTCGTGTCCGAAGGTAAACATTATGCGTTTACTTCGCAAATGTTACGTTTCTAGTTTGAAAACATATTTGCTAGTCATCTAGCAGGATCCAGAAGCTATGATTCACCTTCATGTTTCTGCCTATTGGAGACAGGGCCACCCCGTTCACAGGTACGGGCGGGAAGGTGTAGTTTCGGCCGTTGATGGTCAGAAGTCTCCCATCAGGGTCCGCTGTCATACTGGAGTGGAAAACTCTGCATGTGTGGAATAACATAGGATAGCATTTTAGTTGAGCAAAACGATGATCATATATATCAGGATAGAGACTCTGATCTGGTAGAGTCGGCGTTTGTACCGGTAGAGATCCCGATCGGAGTCTCTTTCGACAGAAACACCAATCAGGATTGCCGATTCTACGAGATCGGGGCCTTTACCCTGAGATATACATAATTCAATGGCAACCCCATAGATTTTAAAGATTGCCGAAGCTGCCTGAAAGTCTACTTACTGCCCGATGCACCATCATTGAACAAAGACGGGGGGCGGTATACCAACTCCCATACACCTTTGACCTATTACAGCGGTCACGTGGCCACAAAGTCACATGTTCTGTGCCATTGGGTCATCCACCCCGAAGAAGGCACCAAGCGGCCAAACTTTTTAGTAACTTGTGTATTTTTTGTGATTTTGAGTTTGATTTGCGACAGAGATTTTTTTAATACCTGTGTGACCTGTCCTGCTTGTAATCGTACACCACTATCGCCCCCGCGCGGCTGGAGTCGGAAATGTACGCGAACCACTCGTCCGAATCGTCTGCAGAGCTGTCAATCACGATGTCGTTCAGGAAGGCGGTGCTGTTTGAAGCCACGTCGTTGGGGAACGTGTGAACTCGGACCATCCTTCGCTTCCTGATGTCGTAAACGAGGAGTTTTGGCGGACAGAGTTGGGGCAGGTTCGGGTCGAAGATGTTCATACGACCGTTGTCTATGATCCACATGCGGCCCAACCGGTCTATTTCCATACTCTGCAAAATACAATGTACAAAGATTGTTACATATTACTTAAGACTTAGAAGTGCAACATTATGTCATCAAGTAGCTCCAGTGTGGAAATGACTGTGACTAAGTGGTATAATAGTATATATGTTGATTTCCATACTCTGCAAAACTAAGATTGTTAGGCATACAGATTACTAGACTTAGAAGTTAAACAGTATATCTACATGTACTTTTAGTAGCTTTTATATGAAAATGTCAGTATGTAGTTAGTAGTACTTAGTACATAAATTTTTTTTAATTTGTTATTGTGTAATTTAGTTACAGTATAACTACGCTTTTAATATTGTACCCTATAAAGTTAATGTTTTTAGTATGAATATCAACTGTTGTTAATGGAACCCCCACGCAATTCAGTCTGTGACTGCCATGTGGGATCCATTGTTAGGAGTTTTACATGAAACAAATAAACCAGTATTATTATTATTATTATTATTATTAACATAGCTAGCACAGGTGGCTCCTGTGAAAAATGTGATACATGTAGTAGTAGGAGGAGGAAGAGGAGCACACTGTTGCTACCATCTGTATGTTTTCATCAGTAGTTTTCTTTGAGTTTAGCAGAAATAGTGAAGTGAAGAATATGTAAGCACTGAATGGGCTCGAGGGGTTATGTTCCAAGTTTGACTGTTGTATTCCTGGATTACATGAACAATCATGTGTACAATTCCGTTTAAAAAATCAACTGTGATTTAAGTTATGGTCATGATGAGACATCCCTACCTGCACGTACTGTATAGCGGAACAGTTCCCGACCTCCTGCCACTCCCAACTGGGGAAAGGACGCAGCACGGGCCGCCCTTCCTTCATTACAACAGACCTGGGTGGGAAAGGGAAGAACATTTTCAACCAAAAAGAAGCAGTATAGCGTTTACGAGAACTAGTTTTATCGGGATTTTTGGCCAGTGACTTGCTCAAGGTATGGAAAAGGTCACAAAGACTGCAAAGACTGCAACCACATTCAGCACCCCATTATAATTGTTGTCTACCTCTCTCTCTCTCTCTCTCTTTCTCTCTCTCACTCTCTCTAACACACACACACACACACACACACACACACTCTCTCTCACACTGACACACACTCTCTCTCACACACACACTCACTCTCACTCGCTCTCCCTCCCTCTCACTCTCTCCCCTCTCTCTCCCCCTCTCTCTCCCTCCCTCTCTCTCTCTGTCTCTCAAACTCTCTCGCGCGCTCTCTATCGCACGCACGCTCTCTCTTTCTCTCCCCCTCTCTCCGTCTCCCTCCCTCCGTCTCTTCCTCCTCTCCCTCTCCCCCCTCTCTCTCCCTCTTTCTCTCCCCCTCTCTCAGACGAGGCGTAACTCACGTGAGAGTGGCCGGCTCTTCGGCACGGTGAGGTACACGGTCGCGATACCGTTTCACTCACTCACTCACTTACTCACTCACTCACTCACTCACTCGTTCATTCATGACCGTGACTCACGTGAGAGTTGCCGGCACGCCCGCCCGCCAGCGCGGCACGGTGAGGTACACCGTCCCGCCGTACGTCTTGATCCCTCCCCCTTCTCTCACGCTCTCTC